TATGGGAAGAGTGGAGAGAGAATGTGAGTTTTAGAGTCTACCCATTTAAAGTGTGCCACTTCATCACATACTAATGACTACTACCAATATTATTGTCACTTTGATAGTTTGATTGAATATAATGTGTGGTCTCTTATTTTATTTTGCCAACTCTATCAAAGATGGTAATGGGACATATTTAGCCAAAAATCACAACACGACATGATACGATACGGACAAATATGAAAAAAGCACGACACGATTTGATTAACGTGACATTGTAACATTGGTTAATGTTTAGCCTGCTCATTTTAATATTTTATAACGCACAACACACGATTGGTGATCAAAGACGCGGGTCATTACCATCTTTACTCTATTATGTAATTAACCATTATCCTAGAGTTGCTAGAAAAATTGAATTTGTTGAGCAAACTTTGAAATCTCATTGTGCCGATTTTCATCAATTAGTAGTTTGTACACCCGGGTGTACCATGTGCATGGTACACCCAGATTAAAGTGGAAAGAACAAAACAAATAGTTATAAAGTACATCATGAATTTATAAAAGAACATATCACTGAAATATAAAAACACAGTATATTATGAGATACTTATTATCAAAAAGGTTTAAGATAATTATGAATTGAGTTTTATTAATAATTTAATGTCAAATCATATTACATTTGAATCAGAAAATAATAGATATAAAAAATTTCTCTATCTAAAATTAATTTTACACAAATATAATTCAAAATTTCTTTCTTAGTTTTCAAAAATTCAAAATATAAGAACATATTATATAAGTAAAAAGAACATAATTTGAATTATTATACCCAAAGAACATAATTTCTATTATTATAACCAAAGAACATGATTAATATATATTGCCTCAAAGAACATTGTTGTATTGTAAAGAACATATAGTTTAGACTTAAAGAATATGTTGATCAGACTTAAAACATATTTCATTGCAATTAAAAAAATAATAAAAGAACATTGATCAAAATAGGAAGAACATCATCTTCAACCTCAGAAAATAACACCAAAACATAAAAATAGATACCTTTTATCTCAACAACGAATTTGTCAATTACATCGATCTTTCAATATATGATTCACCAAAACGATAAAATCAACTCCAAAATAACATTAAATCACTTTGAAATTCAAAATTTAACATAATTTCTCTCTCTCTCTTTTTTTTTTTTTTTTTTTTTTGAGGGAACCATAGTTTCTCTCTCTTTAAAACCCAATTTCTTTCTCTTAACATAAAAAAAATGAAATTTTGTTTATCAAAAGTAATATGGAATGTAAATAATGAATAAGGAATAAAAATGTTTTTTTTTTCTCGTGTACTTTGTATTTGTATACAATGTTCTTTCTGCGTTTTTATAACTCATGCTTTTGACCGGGTGTACCATATGTTCATGGTACAATTGGGTGTATGATGAAATTTTCAGATTTTCATATGAAATAATTGACACACGCGGATCATGCATTAAAATTGTGTAATAATCCTATAACAATCAAAGAGAGCCTCCTATGTTATGTGCAAGATAAAAGAGAAAAAGTCAACATAGAAAAAAATAGGGTTTTTCTAAGTTATACCAGTTTATTTCTTCATTTTCTAAGCTGTGTCCATGCTTTTTCAAACGTCTAAGCTGTGCCCTCAACCTCACTAATTTTTATTAACAACAACCTTTTACGTTAACAATAACCTTTTTTATTATTTTATTTTCTGATTTTTAAAATTTTTTTAAGTGTTAAACCAATGAGAATGAGACACGTGTCAAATAAATAACGTCACGACACCATTGTCGATAAAATAACTTAACTTTCGTTAATGGATATGGTTGTCAAAGGGTATTATTTATAAAATATTGTGAAGTGGAGGGTACAACTTATAACTTTGAAAAAACATGGGTACAACTTAGAAATTCAATAATTTGGGGGCATAGCTTAGAAAAACCCAAAAAAATAAGATAAAAGAAAAGAAAGGAAAAAAAAGAAGAAGAAAGGAGAAACGGATAAGTCCAATTCCCAGCGAAGTTATAACGGTAAGCCCATTAAAGGCCCATACACGGTAACACATATTTGGGCAAAAATAAAAAGAAATAAAAAGGTAAAAAAAAAAAAAAAAAAAAAAACAGAAAAACATATGAAGTTTACCGTTAGATTGGAGCGCATCCAACGATCCTCAACTTTACAGAAAATTCGACCGTTGTGGATCCCCACCCCCATTTAAATACCGCCATTGCAAACCTTTTCTTTCATCTCCATCTTCATCGCTCATTAATCCACTCATTTTAGAGAGAGAGAGAGTGAGAGTGAGAGAGAATTTTAGTGAGAGAAATCGAATCAGAGAAAGATGGCTGCACGAGCTGCTCTTCAAGGCCAACCCGGAGGTATTCTTCTTTCCTTTTGGCCATTTCATTCATTGTTTTTGCTTACAATTTGATCAATCTGTTGTTCATCTGTTTTTTTTTTCCTTTGATCAGAATTCAATTTTGTTATTATCTCCTTTTTTCTTTCTGTTCACTCTGATTCTCTCTGTTTTTCGGACATGAGATGAGAGTTATTCATTTCTGATTCTCAATTTCTCTGTTTTATGTTTTGTCTAATTGATTTGTGGATGTTGCTTTTTTTATTTCCATCCATCTCTATATCCTTTCTGTTGTTTTGACGTGGAAAGATTTGATCTTTTGTTTTCCTCTTGAATTTGGTTTCTTTGACGATAATCTGATTAAAAGTTATAATTAAAACCCCCCAATTCATCATTGTTAATCTTGGTTTTAAGTTTTGATATGGGTATTCAGATTCTTGTACGTTGGAAAAAAAAAGAAAACTAAAATATTGGATGTGTGAATGAATAGGTGGAGTTGAACAGAAAAATGTTCAAGCAGGAGGAGAGAGAAAAAATAGGACAGCTTTAGGAGACATTGGAAACGTAGTGACTGCAAGAGGAGGAGGAGGAGGAGCAGCAGTTGGTATTGTTAAACCCCAGGCAATCAACCGTCCTCTCACTCGGAGTTTCTGTGCGCAGTTAGTTGCAAATGCACAAGCAGTCGCTCAGAAAAACAAGGTACCATTATTATTATTATTATTATTGCCTCGGATCAAATTCATGTAGCCTTCTTTTCCAATATAAGAAGACAATTTGATTGATTTCTATCAAAATCTGGATTGATTGTTTGCAGAAACAAGGAGTTCAGGTTGTGGATGTAAATGTTGGTGGCGCAAGAAAAGCTGGGGTGCCAGGACCAGCCCAGAAAAAGGTGCAAGAAAATAAGAAAACTCAAGTTGACTCAAAAACCCCTTCTGGACATGGGAAGGTTGAGCATAAAGCAGCACCTAAGAAGAAGAAATCACCAACCCTTACTTCTTTCCTCACCGCCCGAAGCAAGGTTTAATTTTAATCCTTTTAAGATGACTCTGGTATAGTATAGTGGACAAATGTTGTGATAAATCAAATGTGAAATGTGCAAAATTGTATATTTCAGGAAGCTTGTGGACTGTCCAAGAAACCTCAAGAACTAGTAGTCAACATTGATGAGGGAAGCATACAAGATGAATTGGCAGTCGTTGAGTATGTTGAGGACATTTACAACTTCTACAAGATTGCTGAAGCTGAGAGTCGAGTGCGCGATTACATGGATTCTCAGCCTGATGTCAATGAGAAGATGAGGTCTATTCTTGTAGATTGGTTAATTGAAGTGCATTACAAGTTTGAGTTGAGGCAGGAGACCCTGTACCTTACCATAAACATCATCGATCGATTCCTTTCGATGAAGGTTGTCCCTAGGAAGGAGCTTCAGCTGGTAGGCATTGCCTCAATGCTCATAGCCTGCAAGTATGAAGAAATCTGGGCACCTGAGGTACTGTAATTTCAGGACCCTAAGACTGAAACTTTTTATGGGTTGTTTTTGAACAAGTACTGTTAATCTGACTGAAATTTGTTTCAGGTGAATGATTTTGTACAGATATCAGATAAGGCATATATGAGAGAGCAGGTTCTAGCAATGGAGAAAACAATACTTGGGAATCTGGAGTGGTATTTGACAGTCCCCACACCATACATGTTCCTCACTAGATATGTCAAAGCTTCTGTTTCAGCTAATTCTGAGGTATATATGTACATACATTTGGATCTCAATTGTGAAGATTTTAGCCTGCAATAATCAACTTTACTGATTGGTTTTCATTGGTTAATGGCAGTTGGAGAATATGTCATACTTCTTCTCTGAACTGGGTATGATGAATTATGCTACCACAATCAAGTATCCTCCTCCACTTCTGGCTGCTTCGAGTGTGTATGCTGCTCGCTGTACTCTGAACAGCAGTCCCTCTTGGACAGAAACTCTCAAGCATTACACAGGCTACTCTGAAAATCAGCTTATGTAAGAACTGTTCCCAAATAAACATTTATAAAGTGCTATATACATTGACCATGAAAGCTATGCTAAACGTATATATTTTGTGATGATATGATGTGCAGGGAATGTGCTAGGCTGTTAGTTAGCTTCCATATGGCAGCACCGGAAAACAGGCTGAGAGCGGTTTACAAGAAGTTTTCGAAACCAGATAATGGCGCTGTTGCCCTTCGATCTCCAGCCAAAAGCCTTTTGGCCTCTACTTCATGAGAATTTTGTACTGGGGTTCATTGCAAAATAATGCTTAGTATATTACTGTCATTAAATTTCTACACACCATCACAGAATGATGGTCTTGCAATTCTTTTATTGACAACTGAGATATGTAATCAAAGCTTTCTTACTTTGAGTATATATATGAAAACAAATTTGAAAACAAATTTTCATTCTTAATTTCCCGTGTCAAAATTTATCTTTATATTCTTGCTCAGAGCTGAAATTGATTCGACAGACAGCTTCTGTAAGCCAAAAATTTCTAAAAAGTGATGCAATCTCCAAATGAGGCCAAAATTATCAAGAATGCTTCCAAAACAAATTGTCCACATATATATATATAAAAGGGAAAATAATATTTACAAAAATTATAGCAATATAAAATTAATGTGAGGCATGAAATGAAATCAGCCCCTCACTTATCCAATTATCTTACAAACCAACTGCCAAAAATCAAAACACACAAACATTTCCACAAAGTAATAACAGACTTAGCTATGGCTACTTCTCTACTACCCAAGTGTCTAGCTCCTATTTTCTTCAACTCCCCTTCCTTGCCTAGTAATTCCAACCACCTCGCCAAACTCTCCTTTCTGAATCCACTAGAACACTCACTCAGCGCGAAACGACCAACTTTTCTGCCACAAGCAAAGAAGAAAAACCCATGGTTAGATCTATTCGATGATGGAGAGGATGATCCAGACATAGAATATGGGTCATTGTACACTGATGGGAAACAAGATGAAGACCCAAGGCCACCGGATAATCCCGGCAACCCATATGGGTTCCTTAAGTTCCCACAAGGATATTCTGTGGAGGTAGCATCATTGGCATCAAAGGTGAGAGGAGATGTCAGAAGATGTTGCTGTGTGATTTCTGGTGGTGTATATGAGAATCTGCTTTTCTTCCCTGCAATTCAGTTGATCAAGGATAGGTATCCTGGAGTTCAGATTGATATAATTACATCAGCCAGAGGAAAACAGACTTACGAAATGAATAAAAATGTGAGGTGGGCAACTGTTTACGATCCTGATGATCATTTTCCTGATCCTGCAGAGTACACTGACATGATTGGACTTCTTAAGGTTGGTCAGTATTGTCTTTTTTGGGGCACTTCATGTTCAAACTAATAAGAGGCATCATACCTTCCAAATGTCATAAGTAATATGCCAATATTTCACGTTAGTAGAGTTTGAATGTCAGTCTTTTATAGCTCTGAAAGAAGAGGTAGTCTAAGCTCCAACAAAATTTAGGCCTACTTGACTCACAGGCAACTCTATAACACCCATTTAATGAGATATGTTTCTTGTGCCAACACAACTAAATGGGTAGATGTAGATCAAGCAATCAACATACTCACTGAAGATACTAAACTAACAAATAAGGAAAGTGGTAAATCGGAACAGCTACATACATACTCATCGCATAAAAGGGTAGACAATTTACAAATTGATTTACTGTAATTTTTCTTGCAGAATAGATATTATGACATGGTGCTGTCCACAAAACTAGCAGGGCTAGGGCATGCAGCATTTTTGTTCATGACAACAGCCAGAGACAGAGTAAGCTACATATATCCCAATGCAAATGCAGCAGGAGCTGGACTCTTACTATCTGAAACATTTACACCAGACAGTATGAATCTTTCAGAGGGAGGATATAACATGTGAGAATTAACACAACTTACCCACAACTTTAACATTTTAATATCATAAGCAAACCCAATTCCTTATTTGTGTTGGGAGTTTTTTATGGCTACTAGGTACCATCAGATGGTTGAATGGTTAGGCCGACCAGCTAAGAACGTACCTCAGCTGCCAGTTACCCCCTTGAAGGTATCAATTTCAAGGAGGCTGAAGGACGTTGTGGAATCTAAATATAATGAAGCAGGAGCAAAAAAGGGGAAATATGTTGTGATTCATGGCATACAGTGCGACTCACAGGCATCAATGCAGTCCAGAGGAGATACTGATAGCTTGCTCCCTATTGAGATCTGGACAGAAATATCCCAGGCAATCAGGTAATGTTGGTTGTAACATGAAACATTTTTTTGGCAGCATTTTGCTAGCTCAGAAAATTTTAAGCCAAAAATTGTCTGCTGCATCAAACTGTTTTGTTAAAACAGGGGAGTTACTCCAGTGTTTGTGATTCCACATGAAAAACTAAGAGAAGATGTGGAGGAAATTGTCGGGGACGAAACCAGCATTGTGTTTATAACGACGCCTGGCCAAGTAAGTACAATTTTATTTTTACTTGATCTGCCTACCAATCCCAAAGCATGAAGAACTTCTGGAACTTCAGCTTGGAACTTATGGCACTTGACTCTAACTTTGTAAATAACTAAATATGCATCAGTTAGCAGCATTGATCAATGATTCTGTTGGCGTTATAGCAACCAACACAGCAGCTATTCAGCTTGCGCATGCCCGAGAAAAACCCAGGTTAGACCAATTTGTACTACATATTAAAAATTGGCGCAAAAGAGCTTTGTAATTGAATCTACTTTAACTGCATTAACACTCACAAAGTTGCAAAGAAATTGATTATATCTTCACTCAAATTCTGCAGCATCGCTTTGTTTTGCTCTGAAGAAAAGGGAAAACGTTTTGTTCCCAACGCAGAAGGAAAGAAGTGCACAATCATAGCATCAAAAACAGGAAAATTGGCAGATATTGATGTTGAAGTTGTAAAAGATGCACTTAAAGTTTTTAAGATTGCAACTGCAGTTCCAGCTTTGGTGTAAAATGGCACATCAAGGATGCTCTCCCCGCCTTTTTATTTCTTTCTCTTTCAACTTATTCTACCAAACCCCTCATGGCATTGTTTTAAGAAAACGAAATATGTGTGTGAGGGAGACACAGTACTTAGAAGATGCAACTCTTGTATGCTTTTGTAATGACATCAACTGTACATTCTAAAACTTGAATGAGAATAGACAATCATTCATTATCTTTATTTTCAGAACCAAAGAGTCACAAACTAGAGTTACAAAGATTGAGTTTTGCAAGGGACTCACCACTATTAATTTGAAGCAAACAAAATGATACAGAACGGGTACCAAAACTAAGCACAAGAAAAATGATGTGAACTTGAGAGCTTCATTTCACTAATTTTTTTTTTTGCATCAGTGGCTTATAGGATATTCTAAGGATAAGTTGGAAACTCATCTGAGTGGTTTGGCACGAGTGGTTGGATCTTCGTCTGACTCTACATGTATCATGAACACATAGCCGAGGCACCACAAAAGGATATATTGGAAGGGAACCCACGAAAGACAGGCCAGCAAACTCATAATGCTACCAACGTATTGTGGATCTTTGATGTAACCGAATGGAAATTCAGTAACCCAAGGTACGGTCTTCCCAAAGCGAACACCATAATAAGTACCAGATTCACCCAATAACTGATAAACCCTGCAATTAATTGAACACTCCATTAGTTAACATGAAATATAAAGGACAGGAGGAGAACAACAGAAAGAAATGAAGGATGAAGAAGACGAGAAACTCCTTAGTCCTTGGGAGAAATAAATACCAACTCTGAAACCAAGTAAATGTTGTTAGTTAACTGGTTTTTGAATATGTTCTTAAATGGGAAATAAGTGAAGAATCACTGCAAGCCTATAAACAGGTAACATCGGTCAAATTGACAGCACAATTTTATGTTGTTGGAAGAAGCCTAGAAATGGAAAAGCAATGGACGTTAGACCTAAGCAAGAACAAGAAAGCAAATCCATTATTGTGAAAAAGTTTCCCAAAGAAATTAGCATATACGAATTCGTATGTTTCTCTAAGGTTTCCATGTCATCCGAGGATGCAAACATGGGTAATGTAAGGTTTATAGGTCAATGGCAGAGAAGCAAGATAGAAATATATACAACCATAATAACAGTCTGAATTGCATATTGTATTAGGCTTATAGTTATAGCTCATCAAAGGAGTAGTCCTAATCCTATTCCTATATATCTTCAACAAATTAGTAATCATGTAAATGGGCCCAACAAATTAAACCAATTCTACATCACTCATTCATTCATTCATTCATTCCTTCCTCACTTAATAAATCTCAGAAACTCCAATAACACAATCTTCTCATTCCATCTTGCACAGAATAAGTACTAAAGGAAGCTTTAATTAATTTAATTTCATATCATAAATGCAAGGAAACAATAAAAAAATAAAAAACCAGATATAAAAGAAAAGAGAAAAGGATGGACCTGAAGTTGAGGAACTGGCCAGCAAGGAAGAGAGGCCAAAAATAGAAAGGAGGAGGCCATGAAAGAGAAGAGACAGAGTAAAGAGAGAGAAACTGAATGAGTTTGAGAAACTGAGAGACAAAAGCCATCATCTTTGAAGGGTCATTTTGTTTGCCGCAAAGATCAACCCATGTTTGAGGTTGTTTCCATAACCAATAGTAGAATGGAAATGGCAACAACACCCCTATTCCTGCCCATACTCCCATCTTCTTCTTCCTTGTGATTTTTTTGGTTTCCAGATTTCTATTTCTGGGCAATTTCACAACAGAGATAGTATTTAACTCGGATAGGTTTCAGTGTTAGATATTTTGGACTTTCAGCCCAATATTTGGGCCCAATTTTAACTCACTCTGCCCCTTTAACTTGTAAATTGTGATACAACTACTACTGTATATCACTTACTTCTTTCAATCTTAGCATTGGCTTTAGCCTTTAGGAGATCAATAAAATGGTACATTGGTACTTCATTCATCGTGAAGTGCTTACGAATTACGGAGTAATATACTTCATTCTGTAGACATGCACGTAGTATACATAAACATATGTAACGTCATCTTAAAAAACATATGACAAGGTCTAATAACATTTTACATAAGATTGTCTTCTTAGGTGCGAATGTTAAAATTCCTTTTCCTATTTACTTTTCTATAAATGGTGTAGGATATATACTTGTCTTATCGATTTTTGTAAGAGCTTTAAAATGAGGCCGACGGAGTAATAGGAATGTAACTAGCAGCGAACAATAATGACTAATACTACATGTGAAATTCTATATTCAGTGGTACAATAATCAGCAGCCTAGACTAGCAGCATATTCTAGCAGTTGGGCCTGCCAAGAAAAAGAGTTGGTAATCATTAAGTTGTGATTAAAATGTCACTTTGATTTGCCACTGATGCAGATATTAGAATGGCTATAATCTTTTGCAACTTTATTAAAGTCCAAGATCTTAATAAAAGAAATTCCACAAACATGTGTCAACTTCATTCAGTTACTTCATATTTAATTTTACATCAAAACATTAATAAAGCTCCTTTTATTAATCCCTTTTGGCATTAATAAGATTATGTATTTGTGATGTAAAAAATAAAATAAAATAAAATAAAAAATAAAAAGATTATGTATTTGAGACTTTAAGAGTCATGGTTCTAGTAATATCAAACAGATTGCAAATGCCTCAGCTCATGATTCCTAATTTCATACATAATTCCTTCCCCTTTCATCATAATAGATTGCAAATCCAGACATGAGCTTATGAACTTTATTTGTGACATCTTTTAAGTAAAATCTCACTAAATCATTATTCCATGTAACCAATTCGATCTCATTATATTATTACTTGATATAATCAATAAGGATAACCTATATTATAAACGTGACTTTTATTTAACTTTTACTGAGAACTAATTTCTTTTTAGTTATATTGTGTAGGGTAATAAAACTATTCTAGATCCACACCATACAAACAATAAATGACCATGACATTTAAGGAAAAAAAAAATTTACATGTGATTATGATTGATGTTAATGTCCTAAGGACCAAACATATGAACAACACATATAAAGTAAAAGCAAATCTCTTAGCTTTTATATAGAGTATCATCCATATACATTCAACATACAAAACTTGTACTTAATTCATAAATTGTTATAGACACACGTTTATCTGTTATAAACTTACAATACAATGAATGTTTGAGGAACAATTCAAGAGGGTTGGGGAAAAATGGAATTCAAAAAATTACCAAATATAAAGCTCCTTTGTACTGGTATAAAAGAAGAATCGAATTTAAACCATTAATAGGAAAAAGGAGAAAATCTGAAGTAGGTCATAGTGGAAAAATACAATCAAGGTTAAGGATAAAATAGGAGCTGATAATGGTGAGACAAAAAATAACATGAAACGTTATTATGATTGTTCTCTTTAATAAAACTTTGGTCACGCAGTCATTTGTGGTTGAACTGACTACACTTCACACTTCTTTATCTGCCATGCTTCGTTCGTTATTCTCATCTCTTTTTTATTTTGTGGCATCTATTTTTTTGCAAAATAATTCTCAAGTTTGTCTAGATATATGTGTATGCATGAGCATGATTGATGTGTCTTATATCTTAACCTTGTACGGGCCACAACAAAGAACCTTGATTAATCATTTTTGTACGGCTCATAACATCTGGCTGGTGTATACTACTACTTCATATTAATTTTGTCAATTAGTAATAACCTACAAGTAATTTTTATATGAGATACTGTGTGACCAGTCAGGAATTACTTTGTTATTGTTATAGGAATTATCCCGCCAGCATTTAATGTTTACTTTCTTAGTGCAGTAAAGTGTTAAAATAATATATATTTAAGAAGGAAAAAAAATCTAACATATAAGAAGTAGGAAGTATTGTTTAGGAGCACACTAATCATGATGAACAATGATGTGGACGGCTAAAACACAATGAGATCGAGAAGTGGGACATGATGGCCTGGGATGCTAGCCAATCTCGCTTAGCTCATATACTTAGCATCAAATTAAACCCGTTTAGGGCCCTATTCATTCATCCTATCTTTAATTAGCTACTCCAAAAAGATACGAGTATTAAAGTATTGTTAATGTAAAAACAAGTGAGATTATTGTTCGTTTTCCACGCACCTTCCAAATTTTAAAAGATGGTGAACTTTGACAGCATACAATATATCAAAAAAAATATCCCCTGTATCATGATTGCTATGTCCACCTCTAATATAAAACCTTAGACTCGGAAAGGGATAGCTCAAATTGCTAGAGTTCCCTTTCAATTATTTCAAGTGATCCTAAAATCGATTTTCATCACTTATCCCATTGGCTGATTGGCTCTCTAAACACCAAAAAAAACTTGCAACTTTTTTTTGATGGAATTGAACCTTAGATAGAGATAGACAGATGTAGCCAAAACCCAAAAGGAGTTGATGGAGTACAAGTATAGAACCGTAGAATGTTGTAGGCTAATTGATTACTGAATTAATATGAATATATGATCTATCTCACTCGATTATAATTAACAAAATCTTAATAAAAAAACAGTAGAGTATATAAATTAATTATAAGTTTCAACTATAAGTTTAAGTTTTTGATATCAATGTTAGAGACTTATTCCATCAAAAGCTGAGTTGATGATTGAAATTCATAATAATTAGGGTGTAGTTTATATACTCTATCAAAAAATATATCTATAAGGTGTTAATTAACATTGATTAATTTTGTCACTTGAGTCCAAATTAGCATAATTATTTCCTAATGTGACAGTAGCAAGGACAAAAGTACAATCCATTATTTTCGCATTAGCCAAATAAGTTGGTCTTCTTACTTTTATGGTGTAAGCACTAAGCAGCATGCATTATCCCAATTTCTATCCTTATATGGCCAAGAGTATAGCCCATATGATTATGAAATTATTGCTATAATCCCTACATAATCATCAATACTAAATATACCGTACCCTGATTAAAACAAACCTCTATCTACAATATAATCTACCTAATTAGCTAGGCGGGTTAAAACGTGTACTCCTTATTATTATTGTTTTGACTTTTATCCTATTGATATTACCGTGCGTAATACGGAACCTAACCTAAGCTAGTAATAAAAGATAGTATTAGAACTAATTGTGATTGTTAGGTACATTCTTCTCATAATTGGTGCTAATTTTAAGGCTTAAAGTATGGGTTACGTTGGGGGGGGGTGTGATTATGGTGGGATAATTACATCACATGACAATCTTTGGTGTTAATCGAATAAATAAAACACTTGGTGGCATCATTCGATCCCTGCACCAATAATTTGACAAAAGAGTGCATTTTTACTTTGTATTCAATTCAATTAATAACCGCTCCTTTAATCCTTTATTAATATTAATATTAATATTAATAATGCAGACAACAAGCCGCCTTTGATGTTTTGTTTTAACATTTTGTGATTATTATACTAATAAATAAATAACCAAAAAAAAAAAAGTTTTCTATGTTTTTTTTTTTTTTTTTTTTTTTGAAACAAAGTACTCTATGTATATACATACATTTAAATTGTGATATGGCCACAAAGTACGCGGACATCCATTTGCATGCGCACTCTTTATAATTTAGCAGGATGTTTCGAGTTTCGACCATGATTCTATCTATCTATGGTACTATATAAATGAAAGGATCTTTAGTTGATAAATTTTGCTTTTTCTAAAATACCCTTCTACATTTTAAAAATTACATTTTTATCAAAAATTAGTGTAATTAAAAATAAAAAATAAAAAACTGCCTTATAACAATTCATAACTACCCTCTTATTTTTGTCTTTGAAAAATCCACCATTCTTTAAAAAAATAAAAAAATAAAAAAATAATGAAGATACATAGAAAAGTCCCTCTCTAGGGTAAGTTAGTCCCGAGTTAGGGTTTGCGAGTGAAGTGCCCTAGTTTTCCAATTTTCCTGTTCGATTCCTAATCAATTTGCACCAAATTTCTCTGTTTGATTGCTAGAATACAGAGGATGGCGGAAGATTTAATAAAAGACTGGGAAAGATTTAAATTGACAGAAGACGAGGGTGTGGTTTTAGGTGGAGATTATGTCGAGGTTGTTAGCAATGACACAAAAACAAAATTGAATCTTACTCTGGTTGGAAAATTATGGACTGTGAAACCTTACAACATTGAGGCGATGAAAAGAACCTTAGCGAATGTATGGAAATTGAAGGAAAAGTTTGCAATTCAACAAGCCGCTGAGACGTGGTTTGTTCCTGGCGATTGGAGGGAATCAATCAAAATGGGTTGATTTGAAGTATGAGCGTTTAGCGGAATTTTGTTTCTTTTGTGGTAGGATGGAGCACACTGAAAGAGAATGCCAGTACAAAGAACAGCAAGAAGGGGAAGTGTCGGAGATGGTCTATCAATACGGACCTTGGCTTCGAGCAACCCCTAAGAATCGATATGGCTGAACGAGAGTAAGAGAAAGTATGCATGGAGAAGTTGAGACACAGCAAAAATTAAAAAAGCTCCCACTTATAATGATCCGGGTGTCATAAAACTTGGCCCTGTAAGTGCAGCAAGAAGACTAGCCTTCTCAACCCCAATAAAAAAGGGTGATGAGGTTAATTGTAGTAGTCCAAGAAGTAAGGAGGCTGAGCTAATGGCTATCCTAGATAGCAGTGGCTCAAAATTGGTGTTAAGGACTGTGGGAACTGCAATGTGTGAGGACAAGGTGTTGCTAAAGTCAGACAGCAAGTTAGAGGAGAAGAAAGAATCAGTAAAGGAAGCAAAAAGGGAGGAGACGAGGGAAACTTCAGCTGTAAAAAATAATCATGAGGGGCTGTGTATGGAGGGCTTAGAAGAAAATATTTTGGGGAATGGAGAGGGGAGAAAAGGTGAAAATACCATAAAGGGGGAGGAAAAAGAAGGAGAGAAAAGAAAGCTAAGAAGTGTGAATATAATAAAAGGAGGGAGGGAGAGTAGGAAGGGAGGGGGTACGCATATGTCAGGTGCTAAAAGGGGGGAGAGGGAAGAAGAAGGGGTGGATGAGAGTATCATGCTGGTTGATGGTGAGAATGACGAGGATAAGAGCAAGAAACGCAAGGTTGTTGCTACTACGGAACATGTGGCGGGCCCCATTCCATGGGCTCTTCGTGATCAATGATGTACATCCTCTCATGGAATTGCAGGGGATTGGGGAATACCCCTACGGTTACAGCATTGAAAAATGTTGTTTTCCTTGAAAATCCTCAAGTAATTTTTTTATCAGAGACTAGATTGAAGAATAATGAGATGGAAAAAATAAAAACAAAACTCAAGTTCCATAACATGTTAGCAGTGAGCTGTGATGGTGATGGCAGAAAAAGAAGTGGAGGGATTGCAATTTTATGGAAAAATTCTATTGATGTGGAAGTTAGATCCTTTTCTTTAAACCACATTGACTCTTGGGTAAAGATGTCGAGTAGGGATGCTTAGAGATTTACCGGACTGTATGGTCACCCCGAGGAGGAGAATAAGCATAATGGGATTTTATTGAAGTGTCTTCGCGGTAATCAAAATATGCCATGGATTTGTGGTGGAGACTTGAACTTAATGCTTATGTCAACAGAGAAGTAGGGATGGACTGATTTTAGCCTTACTGAAGCAAACATTCTGAGAGAGGCAGTGTCTTATTGTGACTTGGAGGATATGGGTTATATTGGGCATCCTTTCACGTGGACAAATAATAGAGGTGGTGATCGTAACCTACAGGAACGACTTGATAGGTTCTTGGCAAACAAGGAGTGGAGGGATCTTTTCTCGGGATCGTTTGTTTCACATTTATCAAAGAGGAAGTCGGACCATATTCCCATTTTGCTATGTATAAGTGAGGGAGTCGGGAAACAAAAAAAGAAAAAAAAGAGGAAAAAATACAGATTTGAGGAAATGTGGTTGAGAGATGAAACTTGCGGTGATATTGTGAAGAATGCGTGGGATAGGGGTGGCGATATTTGTTCAAAAATCGCTCATACTTCTTTGAATTTGAGTGCCTGGAGCCGGAATAAGTTTGGAGATTTTGTTAAAGAATTAAAGGAGTGTAGAGCTAGTATGGAGAGCCTGATGGCGGAGGCTCAAACGGATGAAGTAATAGCTCAAATGCGAGCTCTGGACGACAGAATGGATGAGTTGGAAAGCAGAGAAGAAATATATTGGAGGCAAAGAAGCAGACAAGACTGGCTTAAGTACGGGGATAAAAATACAACTTTTTTTCATACGAAAGCCAATCAGAGAAAATCAAGAAATCACATCAAAGAAATACAAGATGCAGCCGGCAATAAATATACGGAGGAGGAGCAGATTTCAGAAGTCATGGTGAGGTACTAGGAAGAGTGTTGGTGGAGGTAGTAGTATTAAAATATGGAAGGATCCTTGGGTGCCTAATCTCCCAAATTTCCGTGTTATTTCGCCAATGGGTACAAGTGAGACTGCTCCAACCTGTGTGAAAGAGTTGTGGGATGAGAAGAGCTGGAATGTGAACATTTTAGCAGAATTGTTTACTCAGAGAGAGATTGATGATATATGCAGCATCCCTATCCCTCTTTATGACGATATAGATGCATGGTGCTGGCATTTCTCGAAGGATGGTCAGTATGGGGTAAAAAGTGCTTATAATTTGTTAATTGAAGATGAGGAGTTGAACAAGGCGTCTACTTCTGTTGAAATTCCCACTTTCAATTGGAAGAACATTTGGCAAGCAAAAATTCCTCCAAAGATCAAATTTTTCGCATGGAGATGCATAAAGGAAGCCCTGCCAGTCAGAATGCGTCTAATTACTAGGGGAATGGATGTTGATCGTTTGTGTCCGATGTGTGGGGAGGCAGAGGAATCTACAATTCATATGCTGCTGCTTTGTCCCTCTGTTAAGTCTATATGGATGCATTCTGTATTGAGGCTCGATATCATGTTTGATGATGCTAGCTGCATGCATGATTGGTGTGTTTTGGCTATGGAGAAAATTAAGGAGCCTAAGTGGTGGGATAATTTTTGGAGTTTAGCATGGGGAGTGTGGTTAAGGCGCAATGCATGGGTTTTTGAGAAGAAACGCAAGCTTGAGAGTGAGATAATTCACAAAGCTGCTGGGATTGTTGGAGAATTTGAATCAGCTATGGAAAGGTGTGAATTTTTAACACCTGGGCAGCAGCTTGGATCGGTATGGAAGGCCCCTGAGGTTGGAAGGTTAAAACTCAACTCTGATGCTTGTTTCCAGCAGCAACAACAACTTGGGGTGGGGGCATCTTGCGAGACCATGAAGGGGCAGTCCTGGTTGCCTTTTGCTCTTCGATCAAAGGAAAATTTGAAGTGGATGTTGGTGAAGCCATTGCAATGCGGCAAAGCTTGAGGATTGCTCTTGATGCGGGTTTCAGACATTTTGTGCTCGAAACGGATAATATAAAGTTGTTCCATCACATGAAGAAAAGGATCACACCCCCAAATGCCTTTGGCAATATAGTGAAGGATATCATGCTTTTGTCTAGGGAGTGCCTTACTTGTTATTTCTCCTTTGTTAAGAGGTTAGGGAATGAAGTCGCTCATAAACTAGCTTTGTTAAGTAGCAATTTTTCTGAGTATCGTGTTTGGCTTGAAGAGTATCCCCCGGATATTCATGGGGCGATTTGTAATGATGTTGAACTCTTGATGAATTAATAAATGCTTCCGGTTGGTTTGTGTCAAAAAAAAAAAATAAAAACCTTCTTAAAAAATAATTCCATCTGAAAAAAAAAATTTAGAGAATTGATCTTGAAAGATTACCACACGCACGAATGTCTCTTAGCTTGTATTATTTAATTTGATAGGATTTTACTCTTACGAAGTCTTTTACATAATGAATTTGATTCAATTTACCAAGTCAGATCCGACTATAGTAAAACTCCACTTACAACTTTAGAGATTTTTCATCAATCTATAAACCAATGAGTGATCAGAAGAGAGTCTCCGATTCTCAAGTTAACAAGATGATTATGATTTATATTTTCCTTCAATAAGACACTATTCATACATGTACAAGTATCAAAAGCACAACGAACTGATCCGAAGGTGGATCGAAAATTATCTGATTCAGATTTTGACTCGCGTGAACACAATAATTTAACACGACTCAATTTTAAAAATCAATCCAATCCGACTGAACCTAATCTGAATACGACCCGAATTGACACATCTATATACATAAATAATATTAAAGAGATACCACCAATCCACCATGATGCTTTTTTCTTTTTTTTTTGTATGGAAAGCTAGCGCCAAACGATTATAACAATCTTGGCATGGTAGCTTAGCTTAATTTTAATATTAAAAAAAATTAATATTATAAAATAAAATTGTCACTTTGATAGATTGTGAATATGAAATAGTTTATGGGTGAATTAAGATTTTTATTTGTCGGAGGGAATAAATCTATTGAAGTGATGACATGAAATGTGTAAAAAAAAAAAAAATTACAAGATGAATTGATTCCATGGACCTAACTATTCGCTTAAGCTATGTGATCTAAGACATTATATATTTGGTACCACATCGAAGATATGGCATTTGGTTAATTGAATTGGCTAGCTTAGGCCGACATTCGCTAATTTGTTATGGTTAGTATCAAATCTCCTTTTGTTTATTAATTTCTCATCAAGAAATACTAGAGAAGATGCTTAATCATGCCTTTAAAGGCTTTAATAATTGGCGGTGACTATATTTTCTTCTAATATTATTATAATAATTATTTTTTTTCAAGCGAATAGATGTAAGACAAGAAAAGAATGATTTCTTGGTCAAATTACTTAGCTAGCTAGTGTAAGGTGCAACATTCCTCCAATACAAAAAAAGTAGCCAAGGTTGTTTTACTTTTTATTTGATAGGTCTTTTGTCAAAGGCAGTTAAGGTTGGAGTGCATGAAAATGATTCGGTTAATTAGAGGAATAGCCACCACAAGAGTTTAAATATTAAAAACTAAGATAATTAAAACAAAAAGTACTTTCTAATCCACTAATTCACAGATCGCTCAAAATCAAGGGCCAAATCTTACCAACTGCAACAAATATTTTTAAACTTTTATCCAATTAATAACAATTCGTATAAAGATGATTAATAATTTTGGTTTCAAAAAAATAGATGATTAATAATAGTCCCAAAATATAAAATTAGGAGAGTAATAGCTAATAAAGTAATAAGTAATAAGCCGTCTCGGTGGAGTTACTTGGCTGCGCAAAAGCCAAAAGCCACATGAGAAAAGCAAAAGTTATGTGCACATTGCACATATCATAAGTATATGGAGAGATCTTATTTATTTAAAGTAATGACCAACACCACAATTATTGATACCATATCTTATCAATCATTTTCAAATTTAAGGAGAAATAAATATTCATCCCCCATCATGTTTTTTTAGTCTTCTTAAATTTATTTTTCGTTTTTAACGTATGTACGTATGTACATATTAAGTGTACGAGTACTATATTTCACATTGCGCAAGCTAAACTTCTCAAAATTCACTTAATTCTAAAATTTGCTATGGAGTAATAATTTCACAGTAACATATACAAAGTGTGTAAATTTAATTAGACCTAATAATAACTCTAAAATTTAAAAGGAACAGAACAGACCCTAACAAAAAAATATATACACCTTCTCTACAAGTTAAACTAGTTAGCAAGTTGATGATGAATGGGTAAAATTTACAAAATCAAATAAATAAAACCAAAAAAAAAAAGGACCCATTAAAATTACATTAGCACACTTGCCATTATAATAATGCCTACGCCATGTCATACACATAAACCCCACTTGTCTGAGTCCCTGGAAATAAATTTATATATAAAGGAGTTGAGTTTGCACAAATGTCACCACCACAGAAGTTGATCAACTAACCTCCATTCACCCCCAAAAAAAAAGGATCGATGCCACTAAAAATAGTAGCTGAGGAGTCACCAACAAAGCATAATATGAATATGAATATGGAAGTGAAAATAAGAGAATTCGATCAAGAAATAGAGAATGAAAAGGTGGAGGATTTGGAGAGACAATGTGAGTTTGGAGGCCAACAGCAAGGCCAGCCTTCTCTCATCACTCACCTCTTGGGTGATCCTTTTGGAAGAATACGCCATTTTCCTACTCGCATCATGATGGTACCTTCTACCTACACACTCTTCTCTTCTCGCTCTATTACTTCTTATTACTTTGTATGTCGTCTTACAACTAGTACTAGAGATAGCAATGGGTCGGGTCTGAATCGGATAGCTTGTGGCATCACACACTAGTACACAGCCATGTACATACGTGTGCAGTACCAGCCATGACTCATGGTCACGATATGACCTAGCTAGTCTCACAAATCAAATCAGTTAAAATAATTATTAAGGCTTAGAACACGCAACTATAGTTAGACACTTAGACCCACGTACCATTGTAAAGTGTAAACTGAGGCATGACGACCTATCTTCAACTAATAACCGTCCTTATTTGTTAAGGTTGATCCTCACATATACTATATGTTATTATTAGGTGACTATTATATTTCATGTTTGTGTTTTACCTGGTTTTCGTTTGTTTATCTGATGATATGAATATTATTAGGTTGCAGATTATGGAGGAGACATTGTTGGGGTGATAAGAGGAGGTATAAAACCCGTTACAAGAGGAAAGAAGGTTGTTGATGATGATAATCTTCCTGTTTATGTCAAGCTAGCTTATATTTTGGGCTTACGAGTCTCTCCCATGCACAGGTTATATCTTACTCCTATGTCTTAGATGTGCATTATTACACGAGTATTTATATTTTCACCTTCGTTCTTTAAAATATCATTTCATACCATTATCATGTATGATTATCTTTTTGCTCGTAACTTTTAGTTACAAAAGTAGTATATGTGAAAATAAAGTAGCTAGACGTCCTTCACAACCATCTATGATGATATGAGGTTAAAGTTTAATTAATCATAATCTTGGGATAAATTATGGACTGAAGATAATAATGCTCTTGGCTGATGGTTCACTATCATGCAAGGATGTGTCGTCGTTAATTTACCATTTCAATTTGAACAATGAGTAGGTTAAAGTTAATCTACAAAAGTAAATTCTTATTCTCAACACTTGGACATATATTAATTGGATAAATTCTAGAAGCCAAAGCACCAGAGTTCGTTACCTATAAATTTTGAATACTGTACATCTACTTTTTTAAAAACAGGTATTTATTTGTATGTTTATGTCTTAAGTAGGTCCTAAGTTTTAATCTGTTTATAATTTAGAGTAAGTTAAAATGATTAGATTCCATGATTATAAAAGTCAACAAGAGATCCTATAGTATTGGAGACAAATCTTCTTTATTTGGCTTCGTTTTGCTAGGAATAGGAATCGGAACTCCCATGAGTCCCGTCCCATCAATCGACACAAATGATCGAAGATATATTCAGCTAGCTTTTAATCGTCTTCTTTTTCTTTTATTTGTAACATATAATAATCAACATAGTACATAAATAAATTACTATTTAGGAATCCACTCAAGGTCAACCAATGTTTATATTAACCCTAACTTTATCATCTCGGGTACAACCCATTCCATTTTCAATCTATGTAATTTGTGAGTTGGAACTCTCTCATGTTCTCTCACCTTATAAAAATGTGCCTTATTATTTAGAAAACTCTTAATATTAAACCTAAAATCAATAATAAATTAAGTAATAATAAAAAGGGCGATAATAATCCTTTTTTAATTTTTTTTTTTATTGAAGAAAAGGGTGGAACCACTGCACAGATAATCTTAGGAACTATTTGGGTATCTGATTATGTGGCTTTGTAATCAAGTTTATAAATATTCTTACAAAAGTGGTCTTGGATATAAAAGTATAAATGGAAGCACTTTCTAAAGCAGTACAGTATCTTGATATAATTTAATCATGTGTGAAAACTACTTGACCAATATTATGCATAATAACTTCAATCGTCATAGATTCTGTAACTGCCGATCCGTAATCATTCCACGAAGAATGTCTTACAATTTTTATTCCTCAATATCTTAATTTGATTTGCTGGCTGTACAATTTGACCAAGAATTTGTACCGTAACAATCAATCTTATGTTTGATTGGATTACTAATTTTAAATCATGCAAGCATAAGATTTCTAAGACTGGCATATTCACCAGACCTTTATATTGCTTCATATATCAGCTAAGCCTATGCCTAACGGTTCCAACCTCTCCTTAGAGGTGACTAATAGATTCTTTCCATTCAAGTCAAATTTGAATGATTAACTATTCGTTTCCGTTTATACTTTCATATCTTATACTAAGTACACATTTATTATAAGTCATTATAGTTCGGTTAAGGTTGCAACAGATTATCTAGTTACTCTTGACGTAACATTGATCTTGACTTTCTTTAATTTTGAACAGAAAAAAGGGTATTGCTTCAAAGTTGATTAAGAAGTTGGAGGAATGGTGCAAAGAAAAAGGAGCTGAATATGTTTATATGATGACTGATTGTGCTAATGAAGCCTCAATCAACTTGTTCACCTACAAGTTTAACTACTCTAAATTTTGCAACCCAACCGTATTGGTGCAACCAGTACATGCACATCAGAAACCAGTAACCTCCAGCCTTGCTATTGTCCAAGTACCACCACTAGTAGCTGCATCTATGTATCGAAAAATCTTCTCCAACTCGGAGTTCTTCCCTAAGGATATAGAGTCAGTATTATCAAGCAAACTTCACTTAGGAACCTTCATTGGGATGCCGAAGAGGTACCTACAAAAATGGGATCCTCAAAAGAAGCTTCCACCTTGCTTTGCTATTATGAGTGTGTGGAACACTAAGGAAGTTTACCAATTACAACTAAAAGGTGTGTCTAAGTTAACAAAGGCTTGTTGTCTAGGGAGTAGGGTTTTGGATGCTCATATGCCTTGGCTTAGGGTGCCTTCTATACCAAACATGTTTAGGCCTTTTGGCTTCTATTTCTTGTATGGCCTACACATGGAAGGGAAGGGGTCTCTAAAATTGATGAAAAGTCTATGCAACTTTGCACACAACATGGCTAGGGATGACGTGGCATGTGCAGCCGTTGTTGCTGAGGTGGCACAGTGGGACCCAGTTAGCGAGGCTATCCCACATTGGAAGAGGTTTTCATGGAGTGAGGACTTGTGGTGTATGAAAAAGCTCCCAAATAAAGAAGGGGGAAACAATTCCCAGCCTTTAGATTGGGTTACTTCTCCATCCTCCGCATCAACACTTTTCGTTGATCCGCGAGATTTTTGATTGCTTCCTAACCCTACCTCGTCCCACCCCACCTACCTCAAAAAAAAGTTCTTGTACGAGTAGTTAGCTAGATATGATATGCCCACTGGCCTGCATGAGAGCAAGGCGTGAATGTAAATAGTGCATATGCTATGTATTGGTGTTCCAAAGTGTGGAAGTAAATAATGCAATTTTCGCACAGCAAGCTAAAATTGGAAAGATCTTCTCACCTTTTCGCGTTCACTTATTATTTTATTTTCATACCCCCCTTAACACAGCTCCAAGGATAGTAGAACAAAGTTATAAAATCCCATCAAAGTTAAAGGCAAAACATTGTATAAAACAATCTCACCCAAAAAATAGCAAAAGGAGTTTGGGACATGCCATAAAAATGTATGTTTTGTTGTTTTTCAAGGCATTGGTAAGTGTAATCTTACAAGAAAAGGTCTCATGTCAATGTCCTTCGAGGTGAAGAAGTATTACCATTGACATTGACAAATTGTTGTGGATCTTCCCCTACAAAACAATATACGTACGCAGTATAAGTAAACTACCAAAAATTAAAAGCGATACATTTTAGAGCTATGGGGTGTCAAAGTTGGTATTGTACTAAATGTTTCCCTAAAGACTTGAAATTACACATAAAATGGATAATATGAATCAAGCTACAATAGAAATCAGAATGTAACTCTATTAAAAAAAAAAAAAAAAGAAATCAGAATGTAACAGTTTCAAGCGATTTTAAAATTTAATTACACTTTGCAGAAATTATAAACCTCACGTAAAGTGCAGGGAAGGACAGAACAATTCTAAATTTTATACACCTGTATGATTCTCCAGTTGAGAATCGGGAAATCAAAGCAAAACTGACAATCCTTCACCAGCTATGAATATGATGTATTGAAATCCTGTGCAATTCATTAGATGCCATCCATATCAGCTGAAACATACTGATAGTCGTCAACTTCTCCAGTCAGTAGAAGCCTCCAAGTCTGTATCTTCTTCCCACCAGGTGGAAGTCTGAAAGATTTACCAAAAAGTGAAGTCATGATAATTTCTTCTTTTTCAGCAACATTCACTAAAAGACAAGTTGAAGGACATGCAAAAGGAAAAAAAAACCTTATATCCTCTACGAAGAAATTCTAAAGAGCTTCCTTGTTCCTCTTGCAGCCCCAAAACCCTCAAAAGTTCTTCCTTGGTCTGAATCAATCATAATGTGAATCCCATTTATGTGACAGATTATCAACAATAATTGAAAATAAATGACTAATCAACAAGATTTGCATACTTCACCAAGTGTGAATCGGGTAGCACTTTCTGCGACACAAGCAAAAGAACCATCAGCTTGCTTCAGCATCACCTGCCAAGGCCCTGTAAAGAATATATGAATCCTTCCCAGTAAGCTGTATAGTCCAAATAAGTAACAGGAAACACCACATTCACAAAAATATAAAGCAGGTTAGCTGTGAAATTGAGGGTTACATGCAAAGATGCAATTATTATCCTGCTGATTGTAGTATATTAATATAGACTAAGCACTAGAATATGGACTAAAATGATGTATCAAGGAAAGAGGGATGATTATCGTAAAACAAGCCACATATAGATCTATCAATTTGGGTAAACGGGTCGGGTTTGGGTTGGTAAAGAGTGAGTCGGGTCAACTCGTGTTGGGTTGAATTTAGGTCGAGTCAATAACAAGTCATGTTAATTTTGAGTCGGGTTAGTAACAGATCGGGTTGAATTTTTGGGTTGGGTAAGTAATAGGTATGGTAAAATTTGGGTCAGGTTAATAACAAGTCTGGTTGAATTTGAGTCAGGTCAATAACAAGTCGGGTTGATTTCGTGTCGGGGTTGTAACAGGTTAGGTTAACTTCGGGTCGGGTTGAATTTAGTCAGGTTAGAAAAAAGTCGGGTTTTGACGGGTTAAAACGGGTTTAGGTCAATTTCGGTTCATGTCGAGTTCGGTGCAAGTTAATTAAATTGGCCGTTTACAATCAAATTGAATGGTTTCACACACCCAATTGGACCCCCACAAAGTATTAAGGACCATGGTAAACATTTCAGCAATTTTTTATTTCCGGGCAAAAAAAAGTCAAAAAAATTACAAAATTAAAGGCTAATAGCCACACTTTTTGAGAAATTTTGGAAGTTTCAAGGAGGCCTGGTGTCGAAAAGTCTTGAAATTCTATGGGATACATCTCGAGGTCATATAATGCCGTTTGAACTCATATATGATCATTATATGTTGTCATAAATGTTCGTGTTAGGCTTGAATTAATAAAATCGGTACAAATTGTAAATCGGTAAATTGGTCGTTTAAAGGCAAATTGGATGGTTCCACCTACCCAATTGGACTCCGGAAGAGTATTATGGACGATGGTAAACATTTCGGCAATTTTAATTTCCGGGCGAAAAAAAGTCATAAAATTCAAAAAGTTATACACGCATTCAAAAAGTTATCCACGCTTTTTGAGAAATTTTGGAAGTTTCGGGGTCCGGTGTAAAAAAGTATTAATGTTTTAGGAGATACATCTCAGGGTCATATAATGCCGTTTAGAACCATATATGATCATTATATTTTGTCATAAATGTTCGTAGTAGGGTTGAGTTAATGAAATCCATGCAAGTTGTAAACCAGTTATTAAATTGGCAGTTTAAAGGCAAATTGGATGGTTCCACTAACCCGAGGGTATTAGGGATCATTTTAAAAATTTCGACAATTTTTATTTCCGAGTGAAAAAAAGTCAAAAAATTCCAAAATTGAAAACTAATATATCCACGCTTTTTGAGAAATTTTGGAGGTATCAGGGCCCGGTGTCGATAAATCTTGAAATTTTATGGGAAACATCTCAGGATCATATAATGCTGTTTGGAACCATATATGATCATAATTTGTTGTCATAAATGTTCGTGGTAGGCTTGAGTTAATGAAATCTGTGCAATATGTAAACTGGTAAATTGGCCGTTTAAAGGCAAATTGGATGGTTCCACCCACATAATTAGATTACCAGAGGGTATTAGGGAACAAGGTAAACATTTCGACAATTTTTATTTTCCGGCGAAAAATAGTCAAAAATTTCCAAAACTGAAGGCTAATGTCCACTCTTTTTGAGAAATTTTTGAGGTTCCAGGGCCCGTTGTCGAAAAGTCTTAAAATTTTAGGGGATACATCTAGGGGTCATATTATGCTGTTTGGACTCATAAATGATCATTATATGTTGTCATAAATATTCGTGGAAGACTTGAATTAATGAAATCGCTGCAAGTTGTAAATCGGTAAATTGTTCGTTTAAAGGCAAATTGAATGGTTCTAGCTACCCAATTGGACCGCGGGAGGGTATTATGGACGATGGTTTAATTTCGGCAATTTATATTTTTGGGCGAAAAAGTCGTAAAATTCAAAAATAAAAGACGAATATCCACGCTTTTTGAAAAATTTTGGAGGTTTCGAATTCCGGTGTCTAAAAAGCTTGAGTTTTTAGGGGATACATCTCGGGGTCATATAATGTCGTTTGGAACTATATATGATCATATATGTTGTCATAAATGTTCATAGTAGGCTTGAGTTAATGAAATCGGTGCAAGTTGTAAACCGGTTATTAAATTGGCCGTATTAAGGCAAATTGGATAGTTCCACAAACCTAATTAGACTCCCGGAGGTATAAAGGATCATGTTAAACATTTCGGCAATTTTTATTTCTCAGCGATAAAAAGTCAAAAAATTCCAAAATTGAAGACTAATATCCACGCTATTTGAGAAATTTTGGAGGTTTCGGGCTCGGTGTCAAAAAGTCTTGAAATTTTATAGGATACATCTTGGGGTCATATAATGTTGTTTTGAACCATATATGATCATTATTTGTTGTCATAAATGTTCGTGGTAGGCTTAATTTAATGAAATTAGTGCAAGTTGTAAACCGGTAAATTGGTCGTTTAAAGGCAAATTGGATGGTTCCACCCACCCAATATGACTCCCGGACAGTATTAGAAACCATGGTAAACATTTTAGCAATTTTTATTTTTGGGCAAAGAAAAGTATAAAAAATTTCAAAATTGAAGGCTATATCTACACTTTTGAAGAAATTTTGGAGGATTCGAGTCAGGTATCGAAAAGTATTGAAATTCTAGGGGATACATCTTACGGTCATTTAATGTCGTTTGGAACCTATATATGATTATTATTTATTGTCATAAATTTTCGTGGTAGGCTTGAGTTATTAAAATCGGTGCAAGTTATAAACCGGTAAATAGGCCGTTAAAAGGCAAATTGGATGGTTCCACCCACCCAATTGGACTCTCGAAGGGAATTAGGGACCACGGTAAACAATTTGGCAATTATTATTTTCGGGCGAAAAAAAGTCTAAAAATTCCAAAAGTAAAGGCTAATATCTAGGCTTTTTTAGAAATTTTATAGGTTTCTAGGCCCGTTATTGAAAAGCCTTGAGATTCAAGGGAATACATCTCTGGGTCATATAATGACGTTTGGAACCATATATGATCACTATTTGTTGTCATAAATGTTCATGGAAAGCTTGAATTAATGAAATCGGTGCAAATTATAAACTGTTAAATTGGTCGTTTAAAGGCAAATTGGATATTTCCACCCACCCAATTGGATTACTGTAGGTTATAAGGGACCAAGGTAAACATTTCGGCATTTTATTTTCAGGCGAAAAAAAGTCAAAATTTTCCAAAATTGAAGGCTAATGTCCACGCTTTTTGAGAAATTTTGGAGATCCGGGGCCTAATGTTGCAAAATCTTCAGAATTTAGGGAATACATATAGGGGGTCATATAATGCCATTTGGAAACATATATGATCATTATATGTTGTCATAGATGTTAGTGGTAGGCTTGAGTTAATGAAATTTGTGTAAGTTGTAAACCGGTAAATTGGTCATTTAAAGGCAAATTAGATGGTTCCACCAACCCAATTGGACCTTTAGAGGATATTAGGGACCATGGTAAATATTTCGTGGATTTTTATTTTCGGGTGAAAAAAAGTCGAAAAATTCCTAAATTGAAGGCTAATATCCACGCTTTTTGAGAAATTTTGGAGATATCGGGACCCGGTGTCGTAAAGCTTTGAGATTTTAGGGGATACATTTCGGGGTCATATAATACTGTTTTAAACCATATATGATCATTTTATGTTGTCATAGATGTTTGTGTTAGGTTTGAGTTAATGAAATCGGTG